ATATAGTGAATGCAGGGTCCTGGGTCACTAACACTAACTAAATTGATAACCTACAGGGGCTTTGAAAGCATCACCCACAAATCATTTGGGGGTACTAAAGATTGCTTTACGGACACACACAATTTTAAGGCTTGACACATTGAGTATCTTGTTACTTGATTCAACTTCATTCTTTATATGTTACAAATAAAATGTGTTTATGTGCACTTAAATTAACTTTAGTGTATATTTACTGAATATATGCATTTGATAAATTGTTGTGCTAATATTAATACAATTCTAAAGGTTCATTTTTTTGTTGTTGTAATAAACACTTACCTACTGTGTGCAGTGGTTTTGCATAGAGTAGGCCGGATCCTTCTCTTCTTGGGTCCACTGCAGGCTCTCCTGGCTCCTCCTTTCTGTCGAGTGCCCCCACAGCAAGCAGCTTGCTATGGGGCACCCGCTGCTTCGTGTGTCCATTCACACACTGAGCCATGACTTGGCCCCGTCCCTCTCCTCATTGGCTGACTGGATGTGATTGACAGGAGTCCATGGCTCCCACTTCTGTCTCAGCCAATGAGAAGAGGCAGTCCCGGGATAGCTGAGACTCCAGTACACATCGCTGGATTGAGAGGGGGCTTAGGTGTTGATGGGGGGGGATGCCGCACACAGAAGGATTGATTGACAGGAACGGGAACCAATGGCTCCCACTTCTGTCTCAGCCAATGAGAATAGGCAGTCCCGGGATAGCTGAGACTCCAGTACACATCGCTGGATCGAGAAGGGGCTTAGGTGTTGGGGGGGGGGGGGGATGCCGCACACAGAAGGATTGATTGACAGGAGCGGGAACCAATTGCTCCCACTTCTGTCTCTGCCAATGAGAAGAGGCAGTCCCGGGATAGCTGAGACTCAAGTACACATTGCTGGATCGAGAGGGGCTTAGGTGTTGGGGGGGGGGGGGGGGAATGCCGCACACAGAAGGATTGATTGACAGGAGCGGGAACCAATGGCTCCCACTTCTGTCTCTGCCAATGAGAAGAGGCAGTCCCGGGATAGCTGAGACTCAAGTACACATTGCTGGATCGAGAGGGGGCTTAGGTGTTGGGGGGGGGGCATGCCGCACACAGAAGGATTGATTGACAGGAGCGGGATCCAATGGCTCCCACTTGCTGTCTCAGCCAATGAGGAGGCAGAGACCCGGGACAGCTGAGGCTGTCATCGATGGGGCTCAGATAAGTATTGAGGGGGCTGGGGGCACTGCTCCACTCAGAAGGTTTTTTTACCGTCATGCACAGAATGCATGAAGTTAAAAAACCTTCAGCCTTTACAACCACTTTAAAGGAAATAATAAATTGGAATACCATCAATGTTCTGTCAGAAAATATGTAATATTTGGGGGTTTTAACTAATCTTGAGGCCTAAAATGTGTACACAAAACTCAAAAATTACCCTGGCAGCTAAAGGGTTACATTTAATGTAAAGCTATGACCATTTTATCTAGTTCTGCATGGAATGAAGAAGTATTAGAACTCCTGGCAGATTTTACTGCTATCCAGGAGTCTGGTAAAGAGATTTCTGTTCTTGACTTGCTGACAACAGTTTCACCATACATAAAATGAGAGAAAATCTGCCACACGGACAGAAATAAATATCTGACATGGGTTGTAGCCTTCCCACACTCTACTAAAGAAAATTCTTGTTTTTCTGTCTGTGTTTCTCTTGTAGTTACCCTTTACGTCTTGTCTGCTAAAATGTCACCAGAACAGGAAGTGACGGCAAATCTCCCTGAGGGAGCCCCAGATAGCATTAAAACATTACATAGTTTTTATTTCCTCCTTATATTTTGGTTTAATAATCATGTCATGATTGAATATATAGTGTACCAGCGTCCTATGAGGCAAAATTGGGTGTAATGAGTCGGCTCAGAGGCAGTGTTTGCTTGAACAATATTTTAAAGTGAGCCTATGGGAAAAATGAAACTAGTAAACCAACATCTGTAACAGATAGCTGACAGCAGAAGCTCCGCACTTACCTTGTGTTTTAGAATTTTGTCCTCTAGCTCAGTGTGAAGTATCTCGACCTTCTTCATGATGTAGAATAGACATCCCCGCTGTCCTTTGCCTGAGTGCCCCATTGCTGGGTTCAGTTATTGCCGCATGAGAGGCGTTCAGTGAATAGCGACCTTAAGAATCCAGTTCATGCTGGAGTGACGCATTGTAAAACAAAAGCTATTTAGTGACAACTAATGCTGTCAGCTGTTTGCTACAGCTGTTTACTGAGCTAATTGTCCCCACAGATTCATTTTAAAATGCTGACAGCTATATATCGGGCAATTTGATACTGTAAATGTCTCCACAGGTGCACTGGAATATAATGAGTACTGATTTGATTGTCTCAATCACAAACCTGGGCCCTTCAGGCTGAGCATGGGAGGAAGAAATGCATAAGCGGAGAGAGTACAGTCAGAGAAAACCGCATATGGGAAAGATGAGCAAATGCTGAGATAAAGACAGTTGAATTTGTCTGCATCTCTTGCAGAGATTCTAAAGACTTATTTTTGCTGTGCCTTGTGAATGGTCCCGTAGTTGTCTGGGACCTGTCATGTGTCCCAGAAGACTACGGGGAGGGAGGGGGAGAACAACTTTCGCTTCCAGTCACCTAGGTGGTTGCAGAGGAAGTGGGAGCGGGTACCTGTCAAAATCGGGTACTCGCTCCCCGAAGGTGCCAATTCTTAATGGGGAGCGAAAGATGAGGCCTTAAAGCAGACCTTCCCCTTTAATGTCTGTGGGACATGATTCGACATTGAAGTCACTAGGGGCATTTTTGCATGAAAGTCTATGGGACGCGACTTTGCATGAAGGTCTATGGGACGCAATTTTGCATGTGAGTTGCCTTGCCATTTCTTTTATAATATAAATTAGGAAGAGGCCATTATCGGAACTTTTTCTTCTTATCGGCAAAATGCCAATAACACTATTTTTGGCCTATACGTTTCAGCCGCTGATATATCAGTGCATCCCTACACAAATTGTTTGGAGGGCTTAGTGTCCCCAATTTAGTAAAATATTACATTCCAGCCAAGGTAACTCCATTGGCTTCCCTTCATGCTACGTCAGAACTTCCTAAATGGATTAGAAGGAGCCTGTGCCGTAATTGTTAGAAGATTGCAATTGGCACACAAGACAATTAAAAATAGTTATTTTAAAAAAAAGTGTCTAAGCTGTCCCAATCTGTGAAGCAGATCCTCAACTAGTGGCGATCAACTTACCTGATGTAGGAGGCCTCAAGTGATGTCACCAAAGGGCAGCATATATTATTTAGTGGATGTAATCCTACAAAAAAATGATTAAAGACATAAAGATGGCCAGAGATTGCAAACCTGCTATGGGAGTTGTTGGAGACTGAGGATGTGTTTTGGGTGACAGCTATAGACTGCAAACACATTAGGCTTTTTGGACACTGGGGGTTTAGCACCAGTGCAGGAGGCTATGGTGTTCTTTTTTTTGTTTCATAATATTTTTATTGAAATAAGAAAAATACACAAATGGAAGTACAAACTTAACAAAAGAAAACAAAACCCTTCCCGGTTAACCTCCCAGATCCTAATGTCCTCGAGACTTTCCACAGGCCATCACCAGCCAGATGGGACCCATCATGATGAAAGATGTTACCAAATGCTCATATCCTGCAAAAACAGATACTAAAACATAATTATGCTAAACTGTATTAAAAGCAGTAGGGCGATTGGGCAAGGCTGGGTCAGGAGGTGCAAGGAACAGCAGGTAAGAGGAGTAAGGAAGGGGGGGAGAATGGGGATCTGGTACAAGTAGAACAGGCAGAGGCAGCAGGATCAGGGTATTGGGTACAAGCAGTAGGAACAAAGTAATAGGTTCAAGGCAACTTCATGGAGTTGGAGGGACAGGTACAGGAGTAAGGATGAGGTTGCGTTTTGTCTGAAACTCTTCAGACTGAACCTGGTAGCAAGCTGCCATTCCTGCCCTATAAGCACCCAGTCAGCTGCAGGGAATTCTCCAGGGGGCTGGAATGCTTTTGACGATATTGATCTAATATGGCCACATGGCATGGTTGATTGGGCACTGATTTAGTGGGAGTGACCGCTTGATCCTGGGTTTCTGACCAAACCTGTGCTCATGCGTGTACAGAAGCAGGATTTACTGGTTTAAAGGTAGGATAAGGAGGTTTGGACATATAACAACACGTTAGAGCTTCGTAAACACGATGAAAATATCAGATGAATGATCGTTTTTGCATGCTAGTCTCATTGAAAATGAAGAGATTACTAAAGTTATGAAAACTCTTGTACAACTTCAGAAGTGTTGTAATGTATTCTATCATTTCTGAGCATGCGTGGTCTTGCTCTTCCCATTTTTAATACTGTACTGATTAAACGAAAATCATACAATCTGGTATCGTACAATAAAATGTTTGTTTCATCCTTTGAATAATTTCAGACAAAAAGATTTGTACTTATGATCACATTATCGCAGGATTGCTTCGAAAGCGGTATTTTTCAGACGATTTTCTGATCGTGTATACTAGGCTTAAAGCACAGGGGAAACCCTTCCAGCAGCCAGCATCAGGTGGAGGCTAATTACTGGGATCTGCTGGCTGCTGGGGGACAGCAGGACTACATCCTTCAGGTTCACAATGCCACAGGTAGGTGACCAAGTTCCTAACACACAGAGACCCAGTGATGATATCACCGTGTCTAAATTAAAGTATGTCATAAAAACAGGTTTTAGTTAAACATTTCTTTATCATTGCATTAATAAATGTAGGGAGGAACCAGGGAAGGCAAAATATAAGAGGATTAAACCTGTACATCTGACCAACCTCTAAGTCAGGTAGACCCTGATTTGTTTGTAAAGGTAATTCTAACAAAGCACACGGGATTATGAATCTCACTGTAATACACACAATAATCAGGAATAGGGTAAGGCTGAGTCTACACTTTCTTTATATCCTTCTAAGTTGGTTTTTTGTTTTGTTTCTGGTAGGTTTTGTCGTAGAAGCTCCTCCATTTGGCACAGAAGTATTTATCGGCAGCATCCCACAAGAGATATACGAAGATAGGCTGATTCCTCTCTTTGAAACCATCGGTAGACTTTTTGAGTTCCGTTTAATGATGACATTCAGTGGCCTTAACCGCGGATTTGCTTACGCCCGTTATTTGTCCAAACGGCAAGCAGGGCTGGCCATCTTCCGACTAAACGGCTACGAAATACAGAGCGGCTGCAAAATTGTGGTGTGCAGAAGCACAGAAAAGTGTGAGCTGATCCTAGATGGCCTTCCTTGTCTTTTTGACCGGAGCTCATTAACCAGTGTCCTGTGTGAAGTTACCACTGGCATACAAGCAGTTTCCCTCTTTGCCAGCCCTTTGGCAGACATGAAAAATATCGCCATTGTAAAATACAACTCCCACAAGGAAGCTGCCTTGGCGAAGAAAAGCCTGTGTGAAGGTTTGTGATTTTTCTCAAACTTTTTAAAACCTAATTCCAGCCATTTTTTAATTAGTTTTGAATAAAGTGAGGAGAATGTATGTCAGGGTTTTATTTATTTTTTCTGTGACCCCATTGGGGAGATTTTCCCAACCAATGTGTACTGCCACCAAGGGTAGGTTAGAGAATTGAGTATCTCAGGACCCTGTGTTTTTCCTTTCCATAAGTTGATTTTTTATTGTTCATTGAGGGACTCAGGAATTCAGAGACTGTTAAGTGAAACTTTCGCCTACAGAATGATTGGACACTGGCAAACAAAAATGTATGGGCTAGCCCACTACAACTCCTCCTACTCCAAGCATGCCCACATTTTTTCTTAGTGTCCACGATGACAGATGCTTTTTCTGCTGAGAAGTCTATTGTTTTTTCTTGGCACCCTTTTCGCTTCAATTTTCTGCAATTAGCTGATAGCCCATTATCAGCTGCTTCTAGGGTCTAGAATCCCAGGGGATGGGATCCCCCTTTCAACACACAGCAGATGATTGACAGCCTCAGTTGTACATGTTTCCCTATGAGACTGTGGAAGGGGCGTCCATTCCCTGCAGTCAGGTTTCAGATCATAGCTCCCTGGTCTATGCTGTGCAGTTTTTGACATCTAAACCTCACCCCCTTTCTTCTGGAGTTCAGAAAATAGCCTTTGATCTGTGTACTTTGAAAAGCTGTAGAGAGAGAGGGCTGCAGATAAACAGGTGCAACTTATGTAGGATTTGTTTCATCTCTGTGTATCACCTGAGGCTAGTCACTTCAGGGGTATATGTAATGGTTTACAAACACTTCAAGTCATTTTTCTGAGCAGCTCAGCTCCCCCTGCACCCTCCTGCCAGCAGCAACTCAGCTCTGCCCTGCCAGCAGTAACTCAGCAACTCAGCTCTGCCCTGTCAGCAGAGACTCAGCAACTCAGCTCTGCCCTGTCAGCAGAGACTCAGCAACTCAGCACTGCTCTGTCAGCAGTGACTTACTAACTCAGCTCTGCCCTGTCGCCAGTGACCAAGCAACTCAGCTCCCCCTGCACCCTCCTGCCAGCAGCAACTCAGCTCTGCCCTGCCAGCAGTAACTCAGCATTTCAGCTCTGCCCTGCCAGCAGTAACTCAGCAACTCAGCTCTGCCCTGTCATCAGTGACTCAGCAACTCAGCTGTACCCTGCCAGCAGTGACTCAGCAACTCAGCTGTACCCTGCCAGCAGTGACTCAGCAGCTCTGCCCTGCCAGCAGTGACTCAGCTCTGCCCTGCCAGCAGTGACTCAGCAACTCAGCTGTGCCCTGTCATCAGTGACTCAGCAACTCAGCTGTACCCTGCAAGCAGTGACTCAGCAACTCAGCTCTGCCCTGTCATCAGTGACTCAGCAACTCAGCTCTACCCTGTCAGCAGTGACTCAGCAACTCAGCACTGCCCTGTCAGCAGTGACTCAGCAACTGTGCTCTGGCATGTCAGCAGTGACTCAGCAACTCTGCCCTGCCAGCAGTGACTCAGCAACTCAGCTCTGCCCTGCCAGCAGTGACTCAGCAACTCAGCTCTGCCCTGCCAGCAGTAACTCAGCAGCTCAGCTCTGCCCTGTCAGCAGTGACACTGCAGCCCTGCAGTCTTCTAATCTAAAGTTTGGAGCAAGACTTATGACTGGAGGGAGCTAGGTGACCTGAGCTTCTGAGAGAACAGATTCTGCTGTCATTGCTTCTATGGCTACAGAGTCAGCCAGGGCTTGCTTTTAAACGCATGTACTGCTTGTTACAGTGGAACTTTAGGCTAGCAAATAAAAATGGGGGAACAGGCAGGATATATAATGCAGAAGAAATGTGCTTTGTCTCTTCTGCTTTAAAGTTACCTGCTTGTTTGTCCATCAATATATAGTAAGCTGCGCATGCGCAGCTCATTGTAGAAATTCGGCAATGCCAAAGCTGACTGCACTCCTGTGCATGCGCTTGTAATGACGTCATCCCAGTCCGACCAGTGAAAGCGGCTGGCGATCGAGACCAGAAAACCAGCTGCCCAAAGATGTAAGTGGCCGGCAGGGAGCTCCAGGATGATGTACTGCTGGAGCCAAAGCAAGTATAGTTCCGCTTTATTACCATGTAAATGTCCACAGCCTGGTCACAGGTCTACTTTAAAGAGTAACTCCACTTTTGTGGAGTGTGGAAAAAAAAGGGAAATAAAAAGTATATAGCATACACAATTGCGACACAAGTCATATTGTGATTGAATGTTATTAAAAATCACCTTTCCTTTTCAATCAGAAGCTCTGTAATTTGCTGTAAAATGCAATATGGCTACCTGGAGATTTTCTGTACACAGAAAGTGTGTACAGAACGCTCCCGCCAGCAACATCATGTCCTGGTTGTGTGATTGGCTCACTGATTTTCCCAGAAGTCTGCGCTAAGATACACCAAGTCAGATTTAAGGCATCCCCTGCAAGAAATGTCATTTTTGGTGAGATACTTCTGAAAGGAAATCTCATCTAAAGGGATGCAGACCCTGCTACTTTCCTCATTAGAGCCCTTCAGGTGCAGTAGCTGATTGATAATTAGGAACCACTCCCATTCCCATTCATTTCGCACTTGGACAAAGTGTTTTAAAATTCTTGCAATGGATGTAGATCACCCAGAGGAGGATGTTTTTTTTTCTCTAGAAAAGTGGAGTTACATTTTCAGCTTAACTATACCATAAGTCATAACCGCCCTTTTCCTTCTAACCTCAAAAACGATACTGAATCCCCAAGCTCTGTGCCAAGTTGTTCTACCAAAATAGCTTCAAACTTTTAATCCATCACCCAGGGTCTAGGTTACGTCTTGAACTGGGTACGAGAAGGCAGATGTGTGTGTTTCTCTGCATGATGACGTGTAAGGCTGCAAACGCACAAGAACATTTATAATGGGAATATTGGCCGTATGTTTCTATCCCACGCTGTGCACGTAGCCTTCAAACCAAATTCCATATTAGGATCTTATTGCTAACTAGCAATAATGTGTACTGGGCAGTATGTGTGGGTCACGCAGTTGTTAGAGATTTCTCCTCACTTTTTGTAACCTGGGATTTTCTGTTTTTGTCATGTTGGCTGTAGGACACTTATGTGATTATTGATTATTGTTCCCTGATGGATCTTCTCTTTTTCTGCCCAGGCTCCCAGTTGCTGTATGGTTGCCCCTTCAGCGTAGACTGGCTGAAGCCCCAGATGAAGCAAAAAATGCAGGCTGGCATTTTACTGCAGCCCCATATGTACCGTCCTGAAAGGTGGAGCAGCAGCGTCAGGCAGGATAAAGGGTTTGCAGGCAGCTATGTTCAGACTCTGCACACTATCGCGAGCAAATGAAGCTTGGCCAACCATCTTACCGCATACAGTTTTTAAGTCTGGGCTCCTGTGGATGGATAAGGTTCAGCTATGTGGTTGCACTGCCAAACCATTCTGTGCCGTTCACTGGATACGACTGGCTGGTTGGCGAGTACCTGTCCCTTGGGGAGCAGTACCAAAAGTCAAAGGAGATCGTGGCCCTACAAATACTAAAGAAGTTCGGTGAGTGTGAGATTGTCCTATCGACTGCTTACTACATTCATAACCAGGAAAGTGTTCAAAGATGTGACAGTTTGATGGTTAAGGCAGCTATAATTGGGCAGATGATAAGGGCACATCTGCCTGTTGACTGTAGAACCTGTCATGACTGCTTGTGGGCCCCAGAATTGAAGCAAAACACGAGTATGTTCTTCTTTGCTTTAAATGGAGGCTATTTTTTGTCCTGGCTTACTTCTTATATTCACCTTCCCTTCACTACCCTTTCACTCCATTCACCCGCGAAAGCAAAGAGAAGTCACCTGTACCTTCTACACAAGTCTAGGGATTCTCTTCAAACCTTTAAATGACAGGGAGATCTGATTGGCCATTCTCCCATCCAGCTCTGTACGGTGAAAGTAAGGAGAGAGCCTCACATGCTATCCAATTCCTGTAAATATGAGCTATTTGTCTTTGTTTGAGGCAACTGAAAAGTGTGAAGGAAAGGTATAGATCCTACTAAGTGACGCTTTGCTTTGCCTTAGTTAAGCACAGTTTTGCTTTAAGTGGAAGACAGATCAGACAGGTTACATAGAGTTTCTCCAACAATTTCAAGGATAAGTTCACCTTTTAACCACCTCCCATCTGGCCGTTGTGTATAAACGGCCGAACGGTGGCAGTGCTGGAGCGGGTGGCCATTTATAAACGGCCTCCCCGCACCCTGCTTGTGCGCGCTCATTGGGTGTGCGCAGCACTGCGATCCAGTGCTCGCTGTGTCCTCAGGACACAGTGGAACACCGATCGTCGGACGGCCAATCAGTTATCACATGCAGAGTAGTAAGCAAAATGTCACTTGTGACATCATTGCTTACTACTTGTGAAATCTGTGAATGATCACAGAGGTCACATGGTACAAGGCTATTCACAACAGCCTTGTACCATGTGACAAGCTGTGACCAATCACAGCTCACTCAGTAGTTCTCAATGGCTGCAAGAATGCAGCTGGAGAGAAGGAGAAATGATTGCTTTTACATCCTTTATGGGTGTAAAAGCAATCAGTGTAAAAAAAAAAAAAAATCTTCATCACCCCCCACCATGGTGACACTGTACTGCTAGGGTGACAGTATGTAAAATAAATAAATAATAATATAAAAAAATGTGAAAAAAAATTTTTAAAAATTATAATTTTTGGGTTATTTGTTTTTTACTAAAAATATAACCGAATAAATTTTGGCCAAGATTTATGATGAAATACTATTTATTTGCAAAATTTTATAAGAAACACTTTTTTGCAAAATTTGTGGACTTTTTAATTTACATAGCAAAAAAAAATAAGAATCCCAGTGGTGAATAAATACCACCAAAATAAAGCTTTATCTGTCTTAAAAAAAAATGCAAAAATATTCATATGGGTACAGTGTTGCATGACCGCGCAATTGTCATTTAAAATGTGATCGTGCTGAAAGCTGAAAATTGCCATGGTCAGGAAGGGGG